AGAGAGAGAGAGAGAGAGAGAGAGAGAGAGAGAGAGAGAGAGAGAGAGAGAGAGAGAGACAGAGAGAGAGACAGAGAGAGAAAGAGAGAGAGAGAGAGAGACAGAGACAGAGACAGAGACAGAGACAGAGACAGAGACAGAGACACAGAGAAAGAGAGGCTGTGGAGAAGGAAGAAGAGTGAGGAAGTGGAAAAGAAGGAGGACGAGGGAGAAGAGGAGGACAAGAAGGAAGGAGGGGAGAGCAGCCAGTGATAAGCACAAACTCCATCCCTCCAGATGACCCAGAGCTGGTCAGTGAACCAGCAGTGAGCTACAGCCCCAGCCTTTTCTCATTTTATTTTGAGACAGAGTCCAGCTGAGCCAGTAAGCTACGCATGTGGAGGAGCTTCATCTTGACATCTTTCTGCCTCAGCCTCCTAGAGTGCTGGGATTACAATCATGTGCCACCACACCTGGCTTGACATAAGCACGTGTGTGTGTGTGTGTGTGTGTGTGTGTGTGTGTGTGTGTGTGTGTGTCCCATGCACCTGTGAAAACACATCATTGCTATTTATGCCTTCCCCTGAAACCTGCCAAGATTCAGGCACAGATTGGAAAACTGCAAGACCAAATTTTCTAAAAATCTGAGTTTGCTTGCAATTATTAAGATGCCAGATAATAAGTCTTGCAGGAGTACAAATAAATAGGAGATACACTTTTTCCTACCAAGAAGCACATGGCACAGGAGAAGAGAAAGCGTTTGCACAAACACCTTCCATAAAAGACTGCATGGGAGGTGGAGTAAAGGCAGAGAGGGGGACAGCCCTAAAGGCACCAAAATTATTAGTCAGAGAAGCCAAGGTCACCATTCCAGCCCCAGTAATGAAGAGTTACTTTCCCAGAAAGGCAGCGTGTTCCCTGCATCCCACTGCAGGTGAGCCAGCGGTGAACTTTTCATTGAAAATTGACTGTGAAGCCTCCGCATAATTGATTGTACCAGCTGAAAATCCCCAAGCTGAAAATTGCTTTGAGCTGAAAAGGTGCTAGGAAATGAAATTTCTTGGGAA